TCTATTTTAAACTATCCTTGTCACTCCATCTTCATGTCTGGAGTAAGACCAAAGTATTTTGCTGTTAACTTGCTTCTTTTTCACACTTCGTCGTATCATCTGCCTTAATGTTCGATCAGAATATGTTTCTAGGTATGGGATTGCCTTGCAAAAGTCCCTGTTACATTCTCTGTATACACAGATTGTGGCTGCATTTGATCGGCAAAGTATAAAGTCACACTGATTTGTAGGGAGGTCTGCTTTTTTCACCAGACTTTTGTACAGCATATTCTTTCATAGAGTTTCACTGTATAAATAGATGCAGATCAGACACATAAATCGCTCAGTGATGTGAAATTTTACCTGCAATAGGTATACAATGCTTGCATTGCAAAAAATTGGTTATCGCCTGTTTCTTACTCTCGTTTAAGTCGGATCTTTTACATATGATCAACAGTATTTTGTATTATTCTAAACTAAACATAAAAACATAATTATTGATTTATAAGTAGCAGATTTTAAACTGAATACTGCATGAACACTTACTATGTCTAATTTTGAACAGTTTATTTGTTCAGAATTTTGTTTTCTCGATTTTGCATTAAATTTTTGACCAAATTTGATATCAGATATTGAAATCTTTGTTTGGAACGAACATTGCTCTGATGAAAGCTCAACAGACGAATATCGACAGTACATCGCATCCTGCTTTTCGATCCTCCAGCACCTTGAACGTCTGCTGTACTGGTGAACTTGAGGTTTTCCTTCTGAAAATGCGCACTAGATTTGCCCAAATCATGGCCTCGTTCTTGACCAGACACGACTTCATCGAAGAATTTCTACCCAGGTTCGTAGTTTATGGTGTAACCTGCACTTTCTTCACTGAACGTATTTCAAACAATTCAAATCAACCATGCAATTGATCATTCGTATAAGTATATGTCAAGTTGGTGGCACTTATCTCTGCCTAACTAGATATTCAAGAAATAGATATATTTGTACCGTAGCCTGATGAATTGTAGTACTTAATAGTGTCCTTTGTAATGCCGAAATTTATCAACCTGCTGAGAAATCCTAAAATAAATGCGACGCCTTTCCCAGCTTATCTAATTAAATTTTTCATAGCTTGTTGCGGAAGTGATTTATACCTAACAAGTAAAAATTGTGATCATCCTAGTATTCAAGGAAATTCTTGAGGTTCAACTCTCACAGAAACACCCGGATTTCTGCGTTAGAGAAGGCGCTTACTTCGATACCTTTCGAAGACTCAAATGGATGCTGACTTTTTTATAGACTATAGAATGTCATAGACATTTGCTCATGGGAGCAAAGCAAACAAGCTTTCAGAGTGGAACCATATGCTCAAATAATCGAGCGGTCATAGGAGTTTCCAACTGCATTAACCTCCTCCCATTTCTGCTCTTGTAGGCAACCTTCGATCCATTTCATTGTGAGATAATTTGAGGTTTTGTTTGTTGAATTGTTGAATAGAGAGGGATAAATCTGATGCAGTGCTTTAACCGAGAAATAAAAATTATTTTCAGATGCCAGGGTCTCTGAGCCGATTTAACATTCGATTCGGAGTCGTTTGGGTCACATGCTCCGGTCTTTATTGCAGAACGTCGTTGTGATTTGTGATGCTGAAACCCGTCGTCTAGAAGCGAGGGCCTTGTCAAATATCAGCAGGTCTATCAACAAGCGATATTTAAAGTTCACCTTGAGAATATAATGTCTTAGCCCTGGTGCCCCCTACCACGTCACGACCTCGGAGTACTGCGATGACCGTCCAGGTTGGTATAAGCGGTGGTGTCGCCCGGACACATGCCAGTTATCTCCCTGCAACCAAAACTTCGCAGGGAATCTCTGAATCCACTGAGCTGAGTGACTGTTGTGGAGATGTTCGCAGTACGATAGATGTTGCAAATGACGAGCTGCGAATCGAAACACCCCCAATATTAACTCTATATGGAATTCTTCGATTCTCTCCGGAGGTTTTAACGGATATGCTATTATCATGAATCTTGAAATGATCTTCAGTGTTACCATCGGTGCTGATTATTCCATTTTGTCAATCTTTTCAAGATTACCGTTATAGCATGTAGCCAAAGAAAAAAGTCAACGAAGAACTAATGTATCATCTCTTGAACAAGGCAGCTAATGGCTGGATGAACTTTTCTGAAGACGGAAGAGAAAATGGACACGTATATTGTTTAAATACATGCTAAAAAAGTATACGGAATAGTACGAAAATTACAGGAGAATGTGATTAAAAGAGACTACGGAAAGGAAAAAAGCCTGAAAGCTGTGGAACAGGATATTCAGATAAACATCTGAAATAACTGATTCCCAGTACACTGAAAGACGAATGAGGTGCAAGAACTACTACTCGCAGATGGATGAACACGGGCTTCATAAAGATTTTGCAAAAGTCTACACCCTCTGAATTTAGATAGAAATCGATAGCTGCTGCACATTTCCAAAATACCTTTCCTGACATGACATGAGAAGAAGTTGAGCAGACATGCATAAACATCAAAAATGGCGGATGTTTAGGCCAAGACGATTTCAGAACGGTGCATCTTAAATAAAAGGAAAAGACTTGTTTAGGGCTCTTGTCAAGCGTTTTACTGAATGCGCCGGAGAACAAGCGCATAAATTCTGGAAGATATCAGGAGTAATACTTTTCCAGAAAGAAAATGATTCTGAAGGGTTCAAGAACTGCCGTGTAAGTACAGTCCTGTCAGAAAGTTTTCATGCACATCTTTCCAAGCGGTATTCAGGAAGGACGAGTCACAAACAGTGAACAAGTCGTTTTTCACACTGTAGTTTCTGCCACCGAACGTGTTCATGTGTTCATATAGTAGATGAATTAGTCAGCGAATATCAGATGCCCCTTTTTTGCTATGACAGACTATAAGAAAGCGTTCGATTCGATTGAATTAACCATTATGGTGAACGCCTTGCGTTAACGTGACATAATCCCGGTTGACATAAGCTAGATCGAAGAATTTGAACATCAGTTGCACGACAGTCATCAGATGTTCAGCGAGCCATGTCGCATCACTACTATCTTATCATTTCTTTTTTCCGCGTCATTGGGGTTACTCTTCAGTTGACTGAGTTGCGTAACGATATCCATATTGAGAAATAGCAGCTAACGCGCTTGTTATTCGCAAATGACGGCATCAAACGCGCACTAGACATGAAGGAGTTCAAACGGATGGATCCAGCAGTTGGGAAAAGAATCTCATTCCATCAGATTGGAGGTCGAAACAGATGTTGAACGAACACCTCCATTAAGGTTCTGTCTGTGCAAACGGCGAAGAACTGGAAGAAGTGAGCAGTCATGCATATCTCAACTGTTAAGATGATTCACATC